TCCACAATTTCAACTTGGCAAAATAGGAATACTTGGATGGTCAGAGCTGACGATTAAGTAGCAAAAAGTTCCATACAGCACCGTAAAGTTTGATATAAAAGCTACGATCTCAAAACATTAATAACGGTAACCAAGTCATGTAGACTTAAACAGTCATTTTTTCTCGGTATTGCTCTCTAATTCCCTCCTGAGCTGCAGTGAGAAATCGTCGTTGACATCATCATCATCCCAGTCATCTTCCCATTGCTGAGTTACTTCTTTACCTTCATCTTTGGCCTCCCACTCTACGAGTTTCACATGCAAGATAAAAGAAATATTCAGAGAAAATACATAACAAGATGAAATTCTATAAAAGGTTTCTAAGGTATGTTGATAATTAGCCAACCGATCAACGAAACAAAGCTGAAAAGAGAAATAAGACAAGAAAGATCAAAAAACCGAGCAGACTAACTTTATCCCATTGATTACTGCTACATTCACTAAACATAGAGAGAGAGCCCATCAGGCATCAGTCACACACGATCACTCGTAGCGTGTCGATTATTGCTATTCAATTAATATTCAGGAAAAAAACAACACTTTTCGTCAATAGAAAGGTTGTATAGTATAATAAGACATCAACATGAACATTAGAACTGAAAGGAATCTTGAAATAATTGAATTTGACTATGCTGGTAATTTGCAACATGACAACTAGAATCGTGAAGTCTCAGCATTGCTATTAAACTCATCTAACATTAACTCTGTGAGTGTGTCTAATTCTCTTATTAGTTAAAAACGAATCAGATATTTCTTGATAAGAATCATTATAAGAGATTCTAGACAAGTTAAAACAAATCAGATATTTATCGAGAAGAATCATATAAGAGGTTCTAGACCTAGACATGTTTCTTCCACAGTATGCTAACCGAAGTAAAGTAAAGTTTTCCAGCTGCATGAAGATTGTAGACTTCAGGCGTTCCAAAAGTAAAGTCTAGTTCTAAATCATGACGACGCTTATCGAAGCATCAGATACCTAGACATCACCCTCATATTAAAATCGAAGATCGATACTACTTATAGAAGAGGTGAATATCTTCAAACATATTATTTTGTTCTCATTATCTTGGCTTGAACTTTGCTACTACTTGAGTTCATCGATTTCCCAAGCAACATATTGGACGAAACACGTAAAAATTTATATTCAGATGCTACAATTACAGCAGATACTTGTTGAACTACGATTCTTCGGCACACAAATTTTCATGAATCATATACCACCAGCCCAGAAACGAAATAAATTGATACTCAAAATCATCATTACAAATCACAAAATTGAACAAAAATCAGTAGCAACAGACTATCATGAATGAATTCCGAAAGATGACACGGATTTCCTTTTCGCTCAAGAACAACATACCGTTTACAAAATCTAATTCATAACAATCAACCGTGACAACAAAGTTAATTTTGTAAAATCTGCAAGTAACTAAATGAATTTCTAAATTCTCACAGAAGATAATATCTACCTTGGTCAATTTCAAACTCCTCAAACTCATCATCATCTTCAAACAGATCGATTTTCGCTTCCTCGGTAGGGGGTTTCACTTGCTCGGTCGCCATACCAGCCTGCGAAGAAATCACACACACGTTCGAATCATATACACGTGTACACGCATCGATCCGACACGAATACAACGAAGAAAACTAAATTCACAGTAGCTAAAACCCTAGTTTCTCATGGAAATACAACGCGCAGTAAGAAATTACACGTATGCAAACAAAAAATTCGCGATTAAGAAAAGGGAATCAACTTACAGAGATTGTATTCAACAGGAAGAACTCGTTTTAAATGTCGATCGTTTTCGCAGAATCTGGAGAGAATGGGGCTAAAATGGAACAAGGAAGCAATTTATCTGCAGATCAGCAGAAGTGTTCGATACGACACCGTAAGGGTTGGTAGGCGCTTTATGCCCTAAATTTCATAATACCCCCTAAGTTATACCAAAATATCGCTTTCTGCCTCATATTTTTTATTTGGCCCCTCTTGACTAAAAATGGGCAAATTATAAAAGAAATAAGATATTTTGAAAGGCGGAAATAACACGTTTTTTTTTTTTTTTTTTTACCATATTGCCGTATCAACTTGTCGCCCTATCGATTATCTACTGAAATATTTCTACCGAATTATTGCCGTACCCTACTTTACCGTACCGTACCAAAATATTTTGATAGGGCAACAGGACTCAATATTACTAAAATGGTATTACCTTACCGTACTAAAAACTATAATAAATAAAATTTTATTTTAATAATTAATTTATTATATATAAAAAGTGAACATAGTACCATCACTAGCTACTATTGATTAAAATTAATTATACTCTTTAGGTATGTCAAAAATATTTTAAATTGCTTTCATTAAGATGATATAATTGATGTTAAAAAATTATGTTATAATTTTATTTAAAAAATATTTTATATTACGTAAATTAAGAACATATTTTTAGAATACTTATATCTTAAATATTAGTTTTGAACATTTTAAACATGTATATTCAATTTAGACTTAAATAGTAGATAACATAAATTGGTAATTACCATTACCAATACCCTACCGTACTGAACTTTTGGTGTACCGCATTTTTTTTGTAGGGCAATAGTAATGAATTTCATAATACCAAAATTTCAATAATGGTAGTTATTCGAGAAGTTTGGTACAATTGCCCTACCAAACTCACCCCTAGAAAAGACTACCACTCACTTGAAATTCATAAACCAAGAGCTTCTCCTGCCTCAATGGCGGACCCAGTATGTATCTGGGGCCATGGCCCACAACATTTATCAAATCTCCATTTATAACATATATAAAAATGTAAAAAAATTTGTGTGCAATTAACGACCATCCTGAAAAATTAATGCAACCAATTAATTGATCTTGTACATTGAAAATTAAAAATCCTAAAAACTTATGAATATGATAGTATTTGTGAAAGACCAGCCAAAATATATATCCAGGTAGATATAGAAGTCAAATATAAATACTAAGGTAGGAAGATTTAATATTTGAACATACAAGTGGTTTATTATCTTCATCAGGAAACAAGTTCACAGTTGACATATACTATAAATGACATCAATTTTATTTTATATTTAGTAATTAAGGAGTTGTTGTTACTTAGAAGCAACATGTTCATAGCTAAGCACATAAAGTCAACAACATATGTGTGAAGCATGTTCTCATAGAATGCTCTTTATAAGCAAAATAAATACTAGTTATCAATTACACATAATATTCAAATTCTCTCATTTGCAAAAATATACACTAGAGATCATGGGAGCTTATGCGGCTATAGTTTCGCTTATGAATACGATGGATCATATCCAAGATCATCCTCGTATTTCCAACTTCTTTGACAAGAAACAGTTGGAATCTCTTTCCCATCTTCTCACTTTCTTGTTAGATTTTGTTGAGATTACTCATTCTCGTGGAGTTATTCTAAGCATGAATA